TTTTTTTTTTTTTTTTTTTCTGATTTGTTCTTTCAGAGAGCTGAGCGAATCTTCCTTTCTACTTCCAAAAATTAAAATATACCATCAGGCAAACGCTGACAAAGGCAAGTTTCAGACAAGTATCTGAATTCTTATTTAGATCAGATGTCAGGGTAGAATACAACTTCGTAAGTGACCTATTTGCTCACCCTTTGCCTAGAAGCATTTCCAAAAAAAATTTCACATTAAAGTATAGCAACAAATGCTAATAATGTAAATAGGAGATTAAAGCAGTCACACAAATATGTCAGGATATTTATATTTAAATTAACACTCACCTATATCTCACAACCTTTAAATAGGAAAATTGTCATTATCAGGTGTGGTAGTAATGCCTGTCATCCCAGTACTTACAAGGGTGAGGAAAGAGAATCACAAATTCCAAGCCAGCCTGGGCAATTTAGCAATCTAAGGAGACCCAGTGTCAAAATTAAAAATTAAAAACAAAACAACCCAAAACAAACTCCTTCCAAAAGTTTAGGCACAATACAATTTAAAATATCCAACTGCTATACTAAACCCTAAAGAAAATGAAATAAAGTGCAACTGGAGTTATTTTTAAATGACCTAAAGAATTCTTCAATCTTTTTTGTGGGTTAATTGTACATTAGGCTGGCCTATGCATAGAAAGATAAAACTAAAGGTTACATCATTTAAAAATATATTATAAATGTTTTTGTGAAATTTTGCCAATTTAAAACATTTTCCAAGGGTCTGAGGACATAGCTCATGGTAAAGCGCTTACCTAGTGTGTGGCTCTGGATTTGATCTCCAGCACTAGGGGGAAAAAAAAGAAAACATTCCCTGAGGTGGGCTCTCTAACATAATTCCCAGGCCAGGTGTCCGTGCCTAGTATCATTCTTTTGAAGACTGTCCCCTGCTGCTCCAACAGGAGACAGACCACATTTCCATGCTTGTTAAATTATTACCTTGGAAAGTTTTGGCAGTTGCCCACTTCGTCACATTTTCCAGTCATTTTGCTCTCCTGTTTACAGATCTGCTAGCTCAAGCGTAGCTGATGTCCAGGAAGGACTTGGCTCCAGGCAATCATTTCTTTTTTTTTAACCCTTTTCAATTTTGACATCTTTGTGTTAGCTATTACAAAATATTATCACAGCCTACTTTTTTCTGACTCATATTACTCAGGAGATAATTCTGGAATGAATTGGGACTAGAATTTTACATAGTATCCTGAGTTTCTTAAAGCTTTTGGTATCTATTTTCTGTAATACGTAAAGGTCTTTTCCCTTTTCTTTTGTATATGTATATGATTTGAGCAATCCCAGTGCCCTGCTTGTATTCTTGTAACTTTTTTAGTTACAGGCAATTACTATCATGAGAAGTGGACATGTGAACTCATTTGGCAGATCAAACCTACGTGCAGGTCAAAGCTGCGTCCTCCTTTTCTGTTCTATCCACATTTTGCACTTGGTTTGCTCCTGTAGTTTTGAATGTGAGTCAGTGCTTCTCAAAGATCTTCCCCTGGACTTGAATATCTGGTCTCTCCGTTTACAAGCACCTTGTCATTCTCCTGAGTGACTGAATCCCTCTAGGACTACCAACCATGCAAATGATTCAGGAACCAGAGATAGTAAAGTGGCCACTGGTAGAACAGTAGGAAGCAAAGTAGTGAAGGGAAATTTTGTTTCTAAATACTCATATACACTTATACAAAAGTGGCAAGTACTGCTTCCTTGCTAAAATGACCAAGGGCTTATGTACTGCAAACATATACTAATAAAAAATAAAACAAAATCACCAAGCTCTCTTTATTTCTGCTTTCTCCAAACCCTGGACCCCAAGGAGATAAGAACACATATCACGGGGCTGGGGATTTAGCTCAGCAGCAGAGCGCCTGCCTGGCAAGCTCAAGGTAGTGAATTTGATTCTTGGTACTGGGGGGTGGAGGGGGGGAATACATACCACAACTTTTGTAGATGATGCAAAAATTAGTGTGGGATGATTAGGATCTTAGATAATGACTGAAATAGTGTTTACAACTGGTTTGTGCTCTTTGGTAGGATGCCAGGTGCTACACATGGTCAATGTGGTATAAAATTGTATGTTTAGATGAATAATTACAACAGTATTAATTCTTAAAGACAGTCAAAACTCCTTCTATATCTATTATTGGAATAGCTGCTAAGAAGGTATCTGTCTGTTTGCTATTCCTGATTTATTTCAAAGGCTGGACTGCCAGGTGTGGTGGCGCATGCCCGTAACCCCAGTACTCGGGAGGCTGAGGCAGGAGGATTGCTGCAAGTTAGAGGTCAGCCTGGGCTACATAGTGAATTCAAAGACAGCCTCAACTACAGCCAGATCTTGTCTCAAAAGGGAAAAAAAAAAAGAAGAAAAAGAAAAAAGGTTAGACTTTACACATTTCGCTAATATAATATTGTAACCTGCATGGAAAAACAGAACATTAAAGGTTAGATTTTTTTCCCTTTGGAGACAAGTGTCTTCTTTAAAATTCTTCAGGACTGAACTTGATATCCCCACCTCTCCTCAGTCCAGATGAACGGACAGAATATGCAGGTGCTGGTACCAGGAGGTCTAACTCTAGCTTCATTTCCACAGGGAAAGGAAGGCGGGGGCAGGATCTAGAAAGGAATGCAGCAAACCTGGATAGGTCTATTATCTCATTGTAGCCTCTCCCCAGCAACACACTTGTACATGGAGAAATGATGATGTGGACGCTGAGGCTCCTCCATCTCCTTGCTTTGAATAAATCCCTTTTTACCAAAATAAATGTTCTCCTTTGCTTTGGTTGGAGGGAGGCAAGCAAATGAACCTAAGCATATGACTATGAGTGGCTGGTAACAATATATGTAAATAAAATATGACAAGTCCCTCTGGTCAAAAATAGCTTAAGTACACAGCTGTGAAAGATTAGCTATGGGAAAGGAAAAAAAAAAAAAAACAGATCAAAGACATAAAGCTGAGTGTAGTGGTGCACACCTGTAACTCCAGCACTTAGGAGGCTGAGGCAGGAGAACTGTCATGAGTTCAAGGTCAGCCCGGACTACATATAGGGAGTTTGAGTCTAGCCTGAACTACATATTGAGATCCTGTCTCAAAAAAATAAAAAAGGTATTCTTGAAGCTTGGCATGAGGAGATTTTGTGGGCAGGGAAGAGGGATGAACAGGACTGATGAAAGAACAGAATAGGAAGTTTCAAAGGGGAGGATGAGCACAGGAAATGACTCAGCCACAGATGAGGGAGAAAATTCCAGTTAGGTAAGGTGTAGGTGACAATGTTAGGAGAGCTCATTTCTTATATAGAAACTCACTACCATGTCCTCAGGAGTTATGGACACAAAGTGCAATGTGTTTAGTCTACAGAAGAGAACATTTTACAGCTCCGTACTTTTGTTTTGTTTTGAACAGGCTCTTGCTAGTTAGTCCAGGCTGAGCTCACTATATGCCCTCGGCTGGTCTTGACCTTGTGATCCACCTGCTTTAGCTTCCCAGTGTTGGGATTACAGGTACCGGCCACCCAGCAAGTCCATCTTGCCTGTACTTTTACTACTCAGGCAGTTTCAGTCCATCTTCCTCTTCGTTTTGTTTTCGGTTGAGGCAGGATCTGACTAGCCTGTAACTCCTTTCGATCCTCCTTCCTCAGCCTCCAGAGTGCTGGGATTATAGGCGTGCTCCACTATACCTGTTTTTTTTGTTTTTTGGAGACAAAATCTCACTATGTAGTCTCGGCTGTCCTGAACTGAAATCCTCTTGCGTTGGCCTTCCAAATGAAGGGGTTACAGGCACGTGCACACTATTGCACTGAAAAAACATTTAATAACCTAGAAAAACATCTTTAGCTGTTCATTTAGGATTTTATGTTGTAGTCACCATACTTTTCCTTACTTAAAATTTTTTTTTTGCGGTCCTCTGGGGACTGAACCTAACCTATTTCGACAGAAACATCCTACCATTCGCGGTACATTGTGAGCTCTTTCACCTTTAAAACATCGAATTGTTTAACAAGCCTCCTTCAGAGTTACCTTCTCTCCTTCTGCCCCTCATCCTCAAGATCTAAAGGATTGCACGACCCCTTCTTCTCCCAAGAGAAAAAGCAGAACTCTCGCTCCTGCTCCTCTTTCAAACTCCCACAACACGACCCATCCCAGGAGAGGAAGGAGGGGAACAAGTTACGACAGGCGGGCTGGGCGCACAGAAACGGGGACCGGAGCCCAGGAATCAGTCACCAAGTCCGGAAGCATCTGGGCTGGCCGCCAAATGAGAACACCTCCCAAATCCCGGAAACCGGCGCTAACAAATCAGAGACAGAGCGAGTGACAGGCGGAGAGAGAGGCCCGACCCCTCGGGACGGCCCGAAACACGCCAAGAATGCAGGAGAAACGCTAGGAATCCGGGACAGACCGCGGCCAGAAACAAGCAGGGCTTAAACCCAGCTCCGAACGCAGGCACATCGCCGAGACCGTGGGGTAGCAAGCGGCCCCCGGGGGCGGCCTGCGCGAGGACGAGGCCACGCGAAGCCAGAGGTCGCCTAGCTCCCAAAAGCCTGAGCCCGAGTCCCCGCGTCGGCGGCCGCGCGCAGCGCCGGTGTGGGGGCGGGGCCGAGCTCGCCCCGCCCCCAGCGCCGAATGAGTGCGTGCCCAGTGCGCGTGCGTAGGGTGAGGCCGGACTCTATTTGGCTATCAAGCGAGTGGCGGCAGCGGCGTTCTTTTCCCGGCAGGCTGTGCGAAGCGGCGGCCCTACGTCTATCCCCTTCCCAACCCTGCCCCTTCCCCCGCTCCGCCGCGGCCCCCCTTTCCCCAAAGTGAGTGAGTGAGACGGGCAGATGGAGGAGGGACTGTAATGGCGGCGGCCGGCAGCTCCCTGCTCTGACCCACGGCAGGCACACAGCAACGACCCCCCTCCCCGTCCCTCTCCCGGCCGGCCTCCGCCCGCCGTCGGCGCGGGGCCACCCTCCCTGGTGCTTCCCCCAGCCGTCGGCGTCTCGCCCTCCGCCCCGGCCGGGGCCCCACACACAATGGACGAGCTTGCCGGAGGCGGCGGCGGCCCGGGGATGGCAGCCCCTCCCCGGCAGCAGCAGGGACCCGGGGGGAACCTGAGCCTTTCGCCCGGGGGCAATGGAGCGGCGGGCGGCGGAGGCGCTCCAGCCTCCGAGGGAGCGGGTCCCCCGGCAGGCCCCGAGCTGTCGCGGCCGCAGCAGTACACTATCCCCGGGATACTGCACTACATCCAGCACGAGTGGGCTCGGTTCGAGATGGAGCGAGCGCACTGGGAGGTGGAGCGGGCCGAACTGCAGGTACCTGGCCGGGGTCGGTGTCAGGACGGTGGCCGCGGCGGGGTTCCGGCCGGGGGGTGGGGCCGGGACTCCCTGCAGCCGGAGCCCGCGTCCGGGGAGGCCGGGGAGCGCCTACCTGTGCGGCTCGGGCGGAGACGGTCCCCGCGACGGGCTTCCGCGAGCCCCCTCCCCCTCCCCGCGGACGCCGTTCCCCGGCCCTCACCAGCTGCGCCGTGCGGGCTTCCTCGGGGCAGCCATTTTGACTTTGAGTATGGCGTCTGCGGGGGCTCCTCCGGAGGCGGCCTGCCCGGGCTGCGGGACGCGCGGCCGAGCCCCTCTCCGGGAGCCGGGCGGGGGCTGCGGGGCGCCGAGCTCGCGCTCGCTCATTCTCCTCGCGCTTGAGAACCGAGGAGACGGGCCGCGATGGGCACGGTCCCCGCTTCCCCTGAACCCCCCCTTGCGGAGTTGGCCTGTCTGCCCCCTCCGCCTCCTGTGCGACTTGGAGCGCAGTTGCCCCTTGACAGCCGCGCTCCTTTCTTGGGCTGCTGTCGGGCGCGTGAGTTCGCGGCGGACCTGTGAAGTTTTGCCTTCCCAGCGCCACCTCTCGAGTGCCTGCTCACCTGGGATGCTGCGTTACTCCCTCGGATTCCCCTTAGTTTCCCACTGCCCCCCGACGCCTTCGACGCTGAATGTTTCTTTCTCGAGAGGGTTCTCTTTGAACCTCCCTCCTTCAGCTCTTTTTAATGGATACGAAGCCAAGTTAGATTCTCTGTGCTGTGTTTGTGAAACGACTGAGAAGAGAACTGACCTTAGTTTTGAAGTATAGGTACTAACTCTGGAAGCAAAGTTAAATGTACTTAGTCACTGAGGGCCTCAGAACTCTGTAATTTTCTGTGCGAGTACAGAGTAGTAGAGCTCCTTGCTCTTGCTGTGAACTTTTGATAGTTCAAAAGTTCCTAGCTTTTGGGACATTCTAGTAGCGTAGGGCTCGTGTCGTGCATTTCAAAATTTTTGCATCTTTTTGAAAGGATTCTTGAATTTCTTTTGTATATTTGTGTTTATTTTTAAATTCTTTTCCGGCGCAAATTTAGGCTTAGAAGAAAAAATACGCATCTAAGTAGTATTGCACCTGTTCTTCATACGGCTTTATATTTAGGGTGTAACTAGTATTTGTTCGTTGTCATATAAAACCATATGGTGAATAGTTAGGAACGATGGAATGTTGAAAGCAGGAAGATTAAATTCATGTAGAAAGACCGTCTTCAAATATAAATACTTTGATATGAACTAGTAAACTTTTGACTCTACAAAGTGGGTCAAGTTACACTTTTTTTTTTTTGGTTCCAGGAATCGAACTCAGGACCTTGCGCTTGCCGGGCAGGCGCTGTGCCACTGAGCTATATCCCTGGCCCAAGTTAAACTTTTAAAAAGTAAGAATGTGTAAATACTCCTCCAACCCTTCTGCTGGAAATTGAACCCAGAGCTGTCGCAGGGAGTTGCATTCTTAGCTCTTTTTTTTTGTTCTGTTTTTTTTGAGACAGGATCTCACAAAGTCTCTAAATTGTCCAGGCGGGGCTTGAAGTTGAACTCCTGCCTCAGCCTCAGTCTTTCAGAGTGCTGGGATTACAGATATGCCTGGCTAAAATAAATATTTTGACATGTTTAGTTAATTTGATATTCTAAAGTTGTGCTTTGCTATTCTATTGGTCTTCAAAAATTTAGTTTTCAGTAGTCCAGTCAAAATTGCTTGTGGCTTGTGTATATTCCGCCTTAAAATACTGTACTTGGATTTATGTAGTTGCTAGTGTACAGCTTTTAAATACATTGCGGCAAACATCATTTTCTGCGTGAGTAGAGAAGTTAGTAAAGCACTTATTTTTAAAAATTGCTTTGGGGCTATGGCTCACTAAATACATCTTTTTGTTTGTTTGTTTTGTTTTTTTCTGGTACTGGGCATCGAACTCACAGCGTCGTGCTTGCCAGGCAGGCGCTGTACCGCTGAGCTAAACCCCTAGCCCCTGGCTCACTAAATACAACATCAGATTCTGATAGGGTTTTTGACGTTTGTTCTGTTGTACATAAATTTTTATTTTAATGCTTTCCTGTTTTAACGCTTTTCAATTTAGCATTGCATTTGTTCCTCAAAAGTTTCACTTTAATAGCTGAGAAAATTTATTTAAATTAATAAAACCTTTACATTAGTGAAAGTAGTTTCTGCCCTCTCTTTTTCCCTTCCACATCTCTTCTCAGTAGCAACAGAAAAGGCAGTTGAGGAAGATTGTTTTTGCTTGCTAGCTTTCAGGTATTTATTGGCTTGGTAGTTCTGATACAGCGTCTTAAGATTGTTTTGAAAAAGTATTGCTGCAATATATCTAGACTCTTAATTTTTTCCAGAGGTTTTGTTATTTTACACAGATTTTTTTGGAATAAAATGTTCGTGGATTTTTGTGTGTTGTATTTCTTTTAAATGTTTTATTGAGTAATAAGGTTTCAGGTTTGTGTCTAGAAAATCGAATTTGCTTTAAGTGCCTTCAGTCTCTATAAGGTTGTGAGATGCATATTTAAAAATGTATGTGTTGAATCAGTATGTACATATAAAAATGTTTGGTTTAGTGAAGCATCAATAGGTTTCACCTGTAAACTTAAACTTATATTTAAGAAAGATCACTCAGGAATGAGATATCTTTGTATCATCACTACATATAGTCCTGGGTGCACAATGTCCATTATTCACCTTTTCAGTAATAAACACAAAGAGGTTTACGTATACCTGATATTGATACACAATTTTTTTTCCCCTCCGGTACCGTGAATCGAATTCATGACCTCGCGCTTGCCAGGCGGGCGCTGTGCCACTGAGCTAAATCCCCAGTACCTGATATACAATTTTAATATGGAGTATTTTCCTAGTTTTGGAAAAGATATTAAAATGGAACTTTGTAGTGTGATTCTGTTCTCTGTGTACAGGATTTGAGGTAAAAGTATGTCTTAGATATTTGAAGCAAAACCATGAGATAAGCTTTCTTCTTTCTGTGATGCTTCTTTTCCTTGGGACTCAGTTAAGGCATTGTTAAGGACAATGGTTGCTAAATACCAGATTCAAAATACTTACTGAACTTTAGGAAAGTATCCTAGCGGTTGCCTTATCCTCCAGAGATGTGGATTGGTTTATTATAGTGCTTGGAAAAAAAAGGACTATTCATGGGTTTTGGCAGTTCGTGTTATATACAAATTAGAACTCATTTAATCAGCACTATAACCTTGTGAGGCTGGTATTACTCCTGTTGGCAGATGAGACAAATTAATAGGTTAAATAACTTTTTCAAGGTCTTCCAGCTATAAATTATTGCACCTGACATTTGAAACCAGGTTTATGTGATTCCAAAGACTAGTTTGGTTTTTTTGTTTTTGGAGACAGGGTTTCACAAGGCAATTCAGGCTGGCCTCGAACCCACTATACAGTTCAGGCTGGCCTCGAACTCACTGTGTAGTTCAGGCTGACCTCAAACTTGGAGTCATCCTGCTGCCTCAGCCCCTTGAGTACTGGGATTGCAGGCATGCGCCACCATGCCCAGCTCAAAGACTGTAGTCTTACTGTCACCCTTGTAACTACTTGGTTATACTGTTTGTCTCGGTTTTTGTGTTTTTTTTAACTTCAGCACTGAAGTTGATCTCAGGGCCTTATGCATGCTAGGCATATCCTGTATCACTCAGTCCCTCCTACACCTCAGCCCCTTAGCATTTTTTGTAGAAGTGGAATTTGACTTACAATTCTGTGTCAAACACCTTGTGTGTACCACCTTATTATGAAACATTTTATCGAGCCTCCATGGTGCATGAGGCCTAGTTTATACATATTACAAATGTGATCTGGCTGCGCTTGGTGGTGCAGGCCTGGAATCTACCATTTGGGAGGCTGAGGCAGGAGGATCTTTCTGAGTTTAAAACAAGCCAGGACTACATAGTGAGTTCAAAGCCAGCCTGAACTACATGAGACCCTGTCTCAAAAAATCAAAACCAAAACCAAATATATCCTTATATTACCCATAGTTGGTGCATAATAAAAGTATTTGTTATATACAGTGGTTATTTGCAAACAGCCAACATATGTTACAGCTAATAAAAATTTAAAAATATGATATAGCAAATACATAGAAAATAGTAGTCCAGGCAGTTATAAAACTACTGGTTGTCCAGCAAATATAAAAGTTTTAATTTCTGTTTGCATACCCTGGCAGAGAGATTGGTCATAACATGACGTGTTGCTATCTGTAGCTTTTCAAGTTAACAGATGTTTTGCTTGTATTCTTCATTTCTAAGGGAGAGAGCCTATAACTTCTCCTGATAACTGTTTTTATTGTCAGGGTTTCGTAGGCTGGCCTAGAGTAAGGATGTGCAAATTCTGAGTGCCTTTTTCATGACAAATTTTTGTAAATTTACTCTGATATTACAAAAAAACTAGTGGCTCAGTTTTCTGTTTGAGATGATGGTAATAATAGTTAAATTTTTAAATAGAATTAGAGCCTACAAATTTAGGTTTGTTTTTTTCTTTTTTTGGTGCTGGAGATTGAACTGAGGACCTTGGGCGCTCTAGGCAAGTGCTGCATCACTAATTTGCATCTCTAGCCCTTTAAAGATTTTTTAAAATTTTAAGACAGGGTCTCACTAAGTTGCCCAGGTTGGGCTTAAATTTGCTATCCTGCCTCAGCCACCCCAGTAGCTGGGATTACAGGTGTGCTGCACCACACTCAGTTGTTTTCTTTTTGAAGCTCTGGAAAAACAGTTTAAGAACTATAGTTCTAGAGATTTTTTTTTTTTTTTTTTGAGACCACTGCGTAGCCCAGGCTGGCCTTGAACCAGCCCCTTAATCATGGTAAGGTGATCCTCCCACCTTAGCCCTCTAAGTGCTGGGATCACAGGTGTGTATTACCACGCCAGAGTGGATTTTAGAGTTTTCTTAATTCTCTTCCGTTTATTCACAAACTTCACTTGGTAGTCTGCACTTTTGTTCTACTCTTTCCGTTAACCTTTAAATGCTTAGCGTTCCATTTTTGGAACGCCTATAACAACTGAACTCAATAAAATTTTTTCTCTTGAAATTCTTGTTCCTTGAATTTTTTTAGGTACCATATGTGAATTTCATGTAAAATTTTTTAAAAAATTACAGTCTTCGGGCTTAAATTGGTTCATTTTTTTCCTGAGCATTTGTAGAAACTTTTTCTCTTTTGATAAACCTTCAGATTGCTAGATCCTGTGGCTATGTACGCAACCTATACTTTGTACTGTTGATTATTTCTTCTTCAGAACCCTTTCCTTTGGCTTCTGTATTCCCCATTTCCCTTATGATCTGTTTATTACTTTAAAAAACATTTTCTCTGTTCCAAGTTTTGTTTTTTTTTTTGTACTGAGAATCAAACTCAGGACCTTGTACTTGTCAGGCAGGCGCTTGTGCCACTGAACTATATCTCCAGCCCTCTTTGTTCCAAGTTATTAACTGGGGTTTTATTTTTCTTACGATTTTCAGTGTGTATTTTGTTTGCAATCCAAGTTTTAGCAGCCATTTACCATCTTAATACCTAACATTTGCTTATTGTTTG